TTTAATGACTGTGATAAATCATTCTAAAAACTTTTTCCCTCTCATAATATCTAATCTTTCCTGTGTCCGTTTGAAAACAAACAAACAACAAAAAAAAAGCTCTTTTTTAAACTTTGTTTTGCTGGTACCAAGATTCTGGGAAATAAAAACTGTTTTCCAGTGCTACCAACTGTGCCACCAAACAAACAAAGAAAAAATAAATAAAAAGTTGAGAAAAAATGACCCCAGATCATGATACTGTCACCACTATGCTTCACCGTGGGGGAACGATGGTGTTCTGTTGATGTGCATTTTTGCTTCTGTAACCAAAAAGCTAAACTTTGACCTTAGTAATTCCGTAACACATCCTCTTATGAGGCAACCAGTGCTCGGCAGAAATCCCTGCAGATACTCTGATTACTTTCTGTTTTGTCTTTTCATTCTTCTTGGAGAAATGTCAAGTTTATTTTCCCTTTATATTTTCCAGGAATTGATGGCTTCACTGTGCCATTGTTTATATGTGGATTTTTTTGTATCCTGTTCCTGACTGACGCCTTTGTACAAGGAAATCCTGTGATCCTGCATTATGTAACAATGTGAAATAATTGGGCTTCAAAATGCAATAAATAAAGCATCTCAAAATTCCGTTACGTAATAACCGTCGCAAAATGCAATAAAATCCTCGAAGGCATTTTGTAATACCGTCTACCACATTATGTAATAACATTACATTTAGTATAAGATGATTTAGTGGCTCTCTCTTAGACATGATAATGTGACTCTGCAAAAACACAAAATTCTGCCGACTTTTTAATCTAGTTTCTACTGCAAATATGTTCATACACTTGAAATTAGACAAAACTAACAATTAACTTTTCAGACGGATATAGGAGCTTGTATTAAGTCAATAATTCCTGAATATTGGTGAAAAGTACTAGCTATTTCACTTATAATCAGACATTTCCCCATGCTATAAGTGAAAAAATCTGCCAATGGAACTAGTTGTTTTTATTATCAATATTCAAAACTTATTTACTCAAAAGAAGCTCCTTTATCTGTCTGAAAAGTTACTTGCTAGTTTTGTTGTATTTCAAGTGCAATGAGATATTCGCACTAGAAACTAGACCAAAACTACTTTGTAAGTTTGCAACCCCTGTTTGTGTTCATCCTAATCCATATACTTATAATAAAGATCCGATGCATTTAAATCTTTGAAACTTTGATCAGTAAATGCCGACCTTTTGGTCACTTAGTTGCTTTTTCACACTCAGAACCAGACTCTTTGGTTTTAAGGCATGTGAATATCTTTACCCATTACTGTTAACATTAAAAAGGAAAAGCAAATGATCTCTTTAATGCAAATTGAACAGATCCAAGAACATTTCCAAGACTTAAATATCCGCACAGCGACAGAACGTCCAGGCGTGGTTTGGTCTCTAGCTGAAGATGATTTGTTAGGTCAATGTCTTTTCAACAAAAATCTAAATTTTCAGCACCATGGAGAGAGTAACCTTAATTTTTTAACCCTCAACTCTCCTGTTTTCCCTCGTCAGACTTTGAGCAGCCGATCCCTGATGACCGTTACCATGGCATCTACTTTGCAATGCTGCTGGCTGGAGTGGGTTTCCTGCTGCCGTAC